TAATACACTTGGAATGCAATTAGGAGTACAAGCCATCTTGTGAAGCTGTGTCCTTTCGCTGACGAGCACGGAGTGTTACGAGTAGGCAACTGGGCTGCAGAAGCGCAGGTTCTATCTTACGATACGAAGTTTCCCATCATCCTACCTAGAAACCATCGCATTGCGGCGTTGTTATTGAATTACTATCACGCAAATGACGAAACCATAGTCAACGAGCTGCGTCAGAAGTTTTATGTGCCTCGGCTGCGAGTGAAGATACGATTTATCAGGAAACGCTGCATGTGGTGCCGCATACACAAAGCGATACCCGTTACACCGTAAATGAGGCCACTACCAGCGGTACGATTGGAACCCTTTGTACGTCCATTCACCTATGTGGACGTAGTTCTCTTCGGCCCATATTTGGTGAAAGTTGGAAGAAGCGCGGTGAAACGATGGGTCTGCCTGTTCACCTGCCTAACTATTAGGGCCATTAACCTGAAGGTAGTTGCCAGTGCAAGAAGGCAATAAGAAGATTCATAGCACGACGGGGCTCCCCTCTGATAATTTACTCTGACAATGGTTCGAATTTTGTGGGAGCAAGCAGGGAGCTTATGGATGAAATCAACAAGATTACGAACGCTCACACACAGTGGAGGTTCAACCCTCCAGCTGCTCCTCACATGGGGTGCGGTTGGGAAAGAATGGCTCACGCCGTTAAATCAGCATTAGGATCGGTTCCGGTAGTGCGCAAGCTGGATGACGAGTCTTTTGCTACGGTATTGGAAGAAGCCGAAAGTATGGTCAATTCCAGACCACTTACATTCATTCCTCTAGAAACTGCCGACCATGAATCATTGACTCCCAATCATTTTTTGCTCCTGAGTTCAAATGGTGTGCGAGAACCGGAGAAGTTCCCGACGGATGCAGGAATGGCGTTGAGGAATAGTTGGAACATGGTGAAGCACACTTTGGACAACTTTTGGCACCGGTGGGTGATAGAATACCTACCAACCATCATTCGACGGACAAAGTGGTTTCGGGACATACAACTGATCAAAGAAGGAGATCTGGCTGACGAGAAGGTTAGGAATCGGTGGTTACGAGGACGAGTAATTCGAACGATTCCGGGAAAGGATGGAGCGACTCGCCGAGTGGAAGTGCAAACATAAGGAGGGACATTGAAGAGACCTGCTATGAAATTGGCTGTGCAGGACGTGGCAAGTTCTGGTGACGCCCAACCGGAAGCTATGGTGACACGGGGGAGAGAATGTTCGCCGCAACAGCCCCTCGTACTGAATACCACAAACGGTACCTAACGCTCGACTCACTACACCCAGCGGTTGATCCAGCAAGCGCGAACCGTCAAACGGGATGACGGGAGAAACAGGGATGAAAAATAACAATAGCTTTTCACTTATCAACAATCAGCACTATAACAGTATTTTGTTATTAAATTTTATACAAAGGTGAATTTATAATAATAATTACTATTACTAAAATAAATGCCTAGTTGAACTTACAGGCAAGGAATTAAAACTAACAAAGAACTTTGTTGTGAAATAGATAAGATAAATAGTACGGAGTAAAAACCCTAAAATTAATTGCTAAACCTATCCTAAATAAACAAATTTGTTTTAGCTTTAAGCTGATTACCACCCAACCGCGGGTTAGTAATTACTGCTGAAAGAACTCCCAATCTATCGCAACAGAATCAACAACATTTTATGGCTTAAACTCTCCAAAGTTTCGATGATTTATTCCACCTTTTTTGACGTAGGACTATGTCTGTGATTTCTATATGGGGGACTTTGTGAAAACCGAAATTGGAACATGGAACAAAATTATGAAAGATTTTGAACATTAATAGCTCAGCTGCCCCTGGACTAATTTCATTAATTTTATCACCAATCGATCAGAAATATTTCTACGTATCAAAATCAATGCTTGCAACTGATGATTGTCAACAAGAAACTATTGAAAAAGTGGTAATGTCAAGCATTGTCCAATGTTCAAATAAAAAGTGATAATTTTATCCCTGGTTTCATGAAATAAACGTTTTTCCCAAACCCAGCCGTCATAATCGAGTACCACTTGGTCGAGCACTTGATTGGACATCATTCTTCTTTAACCTGAAATGATACTACTGTCTGGCCTCAACTCATTTTAGCTACGGATGGCGTGGTGAGCAGGCAGCAGAAGCAGCAATAGCAGCAGTAGGTAGGTAGTGGCAGGTTAGGCAGTCCACTCTTCTACCTAACAAGCAACAATGACTGGTCGTAGCAAAGGAGGAAAAAGTCTTGGTAAAGAAGGCGCCAAGCGTCATCGTAAGGTTTTTCGTGATAACCACCATCCGTCGTCTGGTTCTCCGTGGCGGTGTCAAACGTTTCTCAGGTCTGATCTACGAGGGGTGCTGAAGGTGTTCCTGGAAAATGTGATCCGTGATGCTGTCACCTACTCTGAACACGCCAAGCGTAAGCGCCCATGGATGTCGTCTACGCTTTGAAGCGACTGACGCACTCTGTGCGGTTTCGGAGGTTAAATCATCACCAACTTTGGCAACAAAACTGCCCTTTTCAGGGACAAAAAGCTTATTACAGTAAAAAGTAATTTATCTGCCTGTTGGTCCATATTCAGAACTACACACCCCCAACGACCACACAAAATGCTCTCGAGAGTTGTAATCTTATAACCAAACTTGGAATCAGGGATGCGCGTGATTTTGAAAAAAAATCACTACAAATATGGTGCGCCTACAATTAAAAATCGGAAAGAGTAAATATAATAGATGATCGATCAATTCAAGACACTAAATGCTCTTCACATTTGTTCCGTCCACTAGCGGTCCTGCGTGAAGCTTCCGTTCGTGCCCCTAGGCAGAGACCCTTCTACTTTTTCAAGAAGTTCAGAGGCTTCGCTTCCTTTTCTGACCCCGTAGACTACACAGACAGCATTCCCGCTCTACTGTCTACATATGAAGTTTATGGACAACTCCTTACTGTGATGTACCGATTAATCTTTTCACTTTAGGACTTCTTTCTAAAACAAAAATAACACACAAGTTGAACCCTTAACGTGAGAAATAAAAAAGAGCTTTCCCTCCTCACCCCATCGACTACGCACTCTGTTTATGACCTCTATTATGTTCCAACACTAAATATGTTAAAAGTCTCAACTTTTCTACAACCAGTAAATCTTCCATACCACACCGACATAAGCCCGGTACTCTTCCACACTCTCCACCAACCGACGACGGGCAACATTCGACACTGAAGAAACAACACACATAGTGGAGAGCTCTCCCGGAAAGCCGACCATTGGCAAAGTTTTCGAAAACAATAAAACTGAATCGAGAGGGCAGTCAAGTGCCTTTCCGCTGCTGGACGTCGTCGTCGTCGTCCTGCATTGGAACCTCACAGGAAACGGCACTTGGGCAGGCAGGCAGTGCCCCATATCCTTCCCGAAAAATTAAGCCATAAATTTTCCTCAAGAGACTGGCTTTCCGAAGCGTTAAAGAAAAAGTTGTCCCAAAACAGATACCGTAAATAGATCTAGAACGTGTGAGAGTGTGGTCGGTCGGTCGGTCGGTCGGTCGGTTGGAGAAATGGAGTGTTTCTTGCTGTGGTTCTGCATTCGAAAGGTTCTTTGGTTGTCGAAGGTGGGGTGGGATTTCCACTTTTTGGTCAATTCTCTCACGTTCCAATGGTGCTTGTAAGGAGGAAAGTTTTTTTTTTTTAGGTTGAACGATGCTCCGGCTGTTCATTGCCAAATGTGGAGATTTATCGAAAGGATACTAGCGACGGGAACCAGGAACCGGAAAGGGTGTTTGCAGAGTAAATTTGATAACATATGTTCCGATTTGTTAGAGCTGTAGCGATGGTGATAGAGTGATGAATTGTTAGCGGACAGATAATTGTCTGCTTCTACTATGAACTCACGCCGTTCGAAATCTGTCATCTTCCATTCAACAATTTGAAAAGACACCTATTCGCCTCGTGCGCTCACATTAACACTTTTACACGAACGGCTCACACAAAAGATCCCCAACGACGACAACCGTTGTCGCAAGCGTTCAAATGGCCTCTTGAAGAAAAAAAATAACGAGCTTGTGTCCCACCTTTTCACCGAAAAACAACACACCCATGCATGTGTAGCTGTTGCAATTTGTAATAAGCATGCCATACAAGCTTCTGTCTGCAACTAATTAGAATCTTGTACTTACTCATCCCCCGTTTCCCTATTCTGAAGTGCGTCATTGCTACTTGTAAATCGTCAATTGCACCCAAGCGAAATTCTCATTAACACAACCCGAGTCGGTCGTCGTAGGATTCTTGCAAAATTGTTGCGCCAAAGCGGCTGATTTTAATTGAAATCTATAAAAATGACCAATCAAACGAAATTGATTCCTATCTCATTCCGACCGGAACGGACTGCTGCCCCCAGATCCTGCACCCTCGGGACGGATTGGTGTGCAGAAAACTACTACTATATAGCTGCGCAACCATCCGAAATGTACGCTCCTACCACCTCCGGCAGGGAAGGTATAGTAACTGTAATTGTTTCATCCCAAAATCATCATTAAAGGAACAACCAATTAACAGTAAAAAAAATATCAGCAGCCAGTTGTAGCCGAGCGAGCATCGAAATGGGTGGTGGAGATGGAAATGGAAGCACCATAAAAGTAAATCGTTTTCCATCCGTATCGAGAATTGGTCTTGTGTTCGTGTGCTGCTGCCTCTTTCTTTCCCTTCCTGTGAGTGGGTGGCAATTTTATCGAACCCCCAGCTCGTAATCCTAATCAAGTGGGTGAACTATTAATTGCTTGTTGCTTTGACCAACCATTACACCAGTGCTCTTTTGATTGTCAGGGAAACGTTTATGGCTGTGCGAATCATGTTGATTCCATTGTTCGACTACGTTTCGAATGATAGTCTTTCGTAGGAAAACCACTGAGAAATATTTACTTCACTCGAATGTTCGTCCCAAACTACATAAGAAACCCCTTTTGATACGATTGAACTTCACTTTTGCACTGAGAACTCTGATGAAAGTCCTATCAGCAGCTCACGGCTCTCGTCCCGAAAGGCGTTGAACGTCAGGAGATAATCACCCGGTAGCAATGGTAATGTTGCTGGGACTTCCGCTTCAAAGTTATTAATTGTAAACTTTCCTTTCGGAATCGGACAGGTACCACGTTCCGGAATATTTGATGCCTCCCTGATTTTGGGAACTAGCAGCGTATCGGAGTTGATATACTTGCAGGCGGTGGACTGTTGCTCAGTTATCTTACTGTATTCTCCAGTTAGACGATTTTTGCTGAATAACGAAAGCACAAACTGCACCTCGTCGCCCATGGTTTGGAAGCATTCCCACGTCCCGGACACCACCAGCAGGTTACGGGACTTCTTTGTCACCCTCAGTGTACCCATATCGAGGAATTCGGGATCACTGGATGGATCCAGTTTCAAGCCACTCATTGTGATGTCGGTTGCCTATGGATAAAATGTAAATAGTTCAAAGAGTTACACAACTTAATCAAAACGAACAAACCCAACTCACTGCAACGAACTGGGCGGAAGATATGAATATGACAATCAATTGCACGTTCATTTTGGTTGGCAGTCAATCACGAAGTGAAACGAGGTATTATGCTGGATTGCTGCTAGTGGACGGGTTTTATGTGATTATTGTTAGATAGGAATTACATGCCACCAGCAACATGCGATGCATTGGAAACCATATGTCGATTCAAAAGATTAAGGCAGACTTGGGTTGTGAACCGAGGCTGCACCGGACAGTTTTTTTTTTATCGTGGTTCACTTAAATGAGTGATTTTTGTTCTTTAATGTACAAATGTACAAGAAGCAGCGTGACGAATATGTGCTGTGCCACAGAGGCCGCGGAAGTGGAAATCATCAAACAAATTACGGACGTAACGAAAGATATCAACCACGAGGCTCTTCGAACTATCGACGTGGTAATGAGGATAATGGCTATCAAAGACAACATAACCAACATTACAATCGCTATCAGCGTAACAGGTCACAGTATTATGCTCCTCGCGTTTTCATGACGCAATCGGATAACCAATCAGCTCATCAACTGGGCCAGGTTGGGAGCCAAAGAGCACATCAAGGCCAACCCGTAAACAACATTCAACAGCCGCAACAATTGCATCAACCACAAAGTCAGGTGGTACATCAAATAACTCGACAATAATTAAGGAGGAATGTTTTCAAATTAAAACATCGTGCAGCAATTTCCATCTACAGAATCGACTTTGTTAGTTGATTCTGGAGCCGAAGTCTCTATTTTTAAAGTTAACGCACTACAGCAATCACATCCAATAAATGCTTTAGAAAAATGTCAAATAACTGGCATTAATAATTTTCCCACAGAGACTTTTGGAACTGCTTCAACTCATATTTTACTACCAAATGACAAATCAGTACAACATAAATTCCAATTAGTTGATTAAAATTTCCCAATTCCGACAAACGGAATCCTTGGGAGAGATATTTTTGCAAAATTTCATTGTTCAATAAATTATGATACTTGGGTTTTAACTATCATAAGTGACGGAGAAACAACTGAAATACCCCTCAAAGACAATCTGAACGGAGCTTTCATTTTGCCACAAAGGTCTGAAGTTTTTAAACAAATGTTTAAAGAGGAAATTAAGAACGATTACGTTTCACTGTCCAGAGAAATTAAACATGGATTTTTTAATGCCAACGCAATTATAAACTCTCAATGTCATATCGTCAAACTAATTAACACTAATAATGACCCTGTAAGCATTAGCAGACAGTTTGAAAGTGGACTTTCTCAGTTACGACAAGTCCAATACCGATAATAGAATAAATAAGATCTTTGAAGAGTTGAATTCAAAGAACTTACCAGAAATACCTAAACAAAAACTACAAAATTTATGAGCAGAATTCAATGATATATTTGCCCTAGAAGGATACACCTTGTCCAGCAACAATTGTTACAAACAGAAGATAAATTTGTCTGATAACTCTCCGGTTTATATAAAAAATTACCGCGCACCAGAAATTCATAGACACGAAATCAACACACAAGTTAATAAACTATTAAATGACAAAATTACACGACCCGTACGTATAATTCGCCAATACTGCTAGTCCCAAAGAAGTCCTCCACTGACACAAAAAAAATGGCGTCTTGTAGTAGACTTCAGACAGCTTAACAAAAAAATAGTAGCTGATAAATGTCCACTACCTAGGATAGACGAATCCTCGATAACCTAGGCAGAGCGAAATATTTCAGCACTTTAGATCTGATGTCCGGTTTTCATCAAGTCGAACTTGATGAACATTCAAAACAATTTACCGCCTTCTCCACAACCTCCGGTCAATTCGAATTTAAAAGATTACCGTTTGGTTTGAACATATCACCAAACAGTTTTCAACGAAAGATGACTATTGCCCTCAGTGGATTGCCTCCAGAGAGTGCATTTCTCTATATCGATGATATAATTGTAGTCGGATGCTCAATTAATCATCACCTCGCTAACTTTGAAAAAGTATTTGAAAAATTAAATTGAATCCTTAAAAATGTAACTTTTTCTGCGTTGATGTCACTTTTTTAGGACATCACATTTCTGAACATGGAATTCAACCCGACAAAAGTAAATATTCTAAATTATCCTGAGCCAAAATCAGCAGACGAAGTTAGAAGATTTGTAGCATTCTGTAATTATTACAGACGCAGACATAGCAGCTCTATTGAATTCATTGTTACGTAAAGATGTTAAATTTTATTGGACAGAAAATTGTAAACAAGCCTTCGAAACCCTCAAAAATAAATTTTTAATTTTTTTCGAGACGTTGATCACGTACTATTCTATACATCTTCAAATGTCCAAGAACTCAAATCCGGTTTCTAAGATTTTTTTCAGAAAAAGGCAGATAGAGCAGGAACTATTCCAAATACGTTCAGGGGATCATAAAGCTACCTGGATATTTTTTCGATGATTCAGCTTGATCAGTTATTATTATGAAGATCTCCAATTTTTCAATCCTGTCTCTCAAAAATTATCATAGCATAGCATGAGCATGAATTATTCCTAACATGTTTAGGTGATCAAGAATCCCTTCAAAAATATTTGAATACTTTTCTCCAAGACAGCTGGTTTACCAGGTATTATTCTGAAAATCTTCAAATCTAGGCCAACAATTGAATTGGGCGGAACAACCAATCGAAACTTCAGCAACCCTTTGAAACTCTACTACCATAAGAACTGTACTGTCGGTCATGTCAGACACCGAAAAACCCTAAACGCGACTCTCGATTTTACATTCATTCAGTACGTTAAACATAACGTCGGACATAATGCGCATTACAGCGCATCATTGTGCAAATACAGCGCACTATGTCTGACATAAATTAGAATCGGTACGCTTTCAATCGTTTTTTTTTTTCATTGATTTGTTTTCCGTCGATCTTGTTTTCCGTGCTGTGCACTAATGCTACCTACCCCAGGGAAGCAGCTCCTACACCTGGACCCTACCTAACGACCCATCAACTCATGAACCGGGGATCAACGGTTCGACTTCCCTTCCGAAGGAAGGCGTGATCAGAGATGTTATGAACCCAGGCCTGCTGGAGTGAGAGTATTCACACTTACAACTATACCACTGGCGCCGCTCTTTCAATCGGATGTATCTCAAAATCTTTAGAATAAAACTAGGGGCATCTTACTCTAAACTTTGTATTTCTCGCGTTGTACATAGAAAGTTCATACTAATATGTAAGATACATAAAAATACTTAAAAATACTTAAGAAATATTTAGCGTTAGATTGTTACCATCGTTGCTAGAAAAACTAAATTTGTTTGTTTGTCTATTGTCGTCGTCTGGAACAAATGTAAAGTGATGATGGCTCCTATTTTGCAAACTAATTGAATGATGCCGCGGAGAATGCACTTTCAAATATTCCATGCCTTGGTTGTATCACCAACCGTGATCCGTTCATCATGTTACAGGAATCAGTTTAGTTGATAGTCATGAGAATCTTCCACCCATTGCTCGTTTATTTGAATTGGATCGTTGTGTTTATAGGTGCAAATTCTAGACAAGCGAGCTCACGCACTAGGAGGGTGGTTGCATTGATTGCACTTATTCTAAAATTACAATTATCTTTTGACTAGCAAACGTCTTCTAGACAAGCGAGCTCGCGCACTAGGAGGGCGGTTGCATTGATTGGAAAATAATTACTAAAAATGCTGATACATAATAAATCTATATCCAGCATTATTATTCTGAATATTCAAGGTTGTCTTATTGCAATATTACAATTATCTTTTGACTAGCAAACGTCTTCTAGACAAGCGAGCTCACGCTCTAGGAGGGCGGTTGCATTGATTGGAAAATAATTAAAACGATGCTGGCGGTATGCGCATTGCCAGTAAAAATAAATGTTTGTAATTCATGACCAACAGAATGAACAAATGAATTACACCGGTATGAGAAATGACTTTTATCTCTCCACAGTAGGCTTTTAAATAACTCTTGAATGCATTCTAGCAGCATGTCAGTACACATTCCTGATGGCTCAGATGGATTGATAATAAACAATAAACCTGGAAACAGATCCTGCATATTTGGGATTATCGTTACAACTCAAACATTTAGAAACGTTCGTTTGAACATCCACATATATAAATTAGGAGTATAGGCAGAGATTAGATCTCGTACCCTAACCTTCGTAAGTAAATGCCACGATACTTTGAAAAATGTTGCTGGTTTTGTCCGAAATTTTGATTTTCCTACAGTGATGCATAGAGACAACGTGATATTTTTTTTACCTTGGTGGCAGCTTGCTTTCACTTTGACAATGACCCAAGTCAGATTTATTTTGTTTTTGGTGGGGCTCCGCTACATGGCTCCTGGCCTGGCCTCTGTTGCGATGGTCTGCCGGATTCCTATCCAGCCCTTGCTTGTAGTTTTTGTGTCCACCCTTTCGTAGTATGTGGCCGAGTCAACTCCAAATACATTTGCCAATTTCTGTTGGCATCAATATGAAACTGCTCAGCATTTGAAATTCCGCTGTTGGTGCTGATTCTGCATTTATGCCGCTGTTGGTCTAATCGTCTGGCGCTTACTGTCTGCAGAGATATTGGAAACTTCCACCTTTATCCACTGCTAACCTAGCTATCATAAAGTTGAAAGGGTTGTCCGTGTTGTAACATTTAACTATTTGGTCTTGTTGCCGTTGCTCGTGACAAGGCTTTATTACGCAAAACTTTGCACTTGAAAGCCTCATACCGCACTTCGGTGAGGTTGATGATTTCATCCGTGATTGAGTCGTTCGAAAGCTTCATCGTAGTCAATGAATACCGTAGGCTAGGATGATACGAAGCGTAACAAGACGGTACGCCCAAGATCTTCCCGAAATGAATCCAAAGTTGCGTCGATCTTCTTCTGTATTCAATTCAAGATAAATTTGTACAGAAAATTGAGAACAATTCGCAGTTACATGATACATCACCTATTATCACACACAACCAGATCCCGCTTATCAGGACCTTCACTAAGATGGTGTGCAACAAATAGTAGCGTCCAGATTTTGAAGAATAACATTT